ATAAGTCATTTGCTTTGTGTTTCATTTGTTTTGTTCTGATCCTCCAGAAGAACAATCACTTTGAAAGACATTACATTCTCAGGTCATCAGCTGACACATATGTCAAGTAGAACAGCAGTCAAAGGTACCTAATTGCAAAAGGTTGCTTAAAATAAATAGAATGCCATTGTTATAAATATAAATACAACATCTGGTTCCATGTAACAAAGCTATTTCCATATCCCAACAGATGGCCCACAGTAATAATGCTTTGCTGATCTGGTTATAACAAATTCTATTAAATCAAAAATCCTGTATAGCAGATGCCTTTTCCAATTTCAGTATAAGTCAATCTCTTTAACCAAAACACTGTGCTTTGGTTCTTATTTGTACACTAAAATCCAGTTATGCCCAGTAAGATGGTCAAAATTTTGGGCAGTTGTTATAAAATACTAGTGTGGTATTTTTCAAGTTTGGAGGTGAAAGAGGTAGAGTACCTCTCTAGAACTGAAAAGCTAAGAGTTCAAAATGGAAAACAAAAAATCACAATTAAAGGAAGGCTGAAAAAAGCCAACGTTTCTGAATAATGGCAATGTGGAAAACTAAACAACTAACAAAAGTCAACAGTGAAGCGCAGTGAAAAAAATGTAATTTCTGAGTTGAGACACTATTACCAGGGTCAAACAAAAGGTCTAAATAACATGTATCTCCATAACACTACAGTGTTAGTGAAAGGTACATATTTTTAAAATATGTAGATGCAATGTCATTGCATCTCCTGTTTATCTGCTTCTCCAACTATACTCTTGTCCTTACTTGAAATATTATCCTCTATTAATTCATAACAAGTAAACAGAACAGTGAAGTGATTAAGAGCTACTTAGTTTGAAAATAGACTGCAGGGGTTCAAATCCTAGCTCTTTCCATTTCTAGCAAAGTACCTTAGGTAAATTACTTGACCTCTCTGTTCCCATATCCTCATCTGTAAAACTCTGATAATAATAAAATCTACCTTTGAGGAGTTGTGAGGATTATACAAAAATGCAAAGTACTTAGAACACCGTTATGCCAATAAGGCCTCAAAAACTGTAGCTATTATTATTATCACTACCACTATTGTCATCATCACTAACCCTCATTAAAGTTCTAAAAGACAGAAATAGTGCATTCCCCTGTAATCCCAGCAATGGTTGAAACTAGTCTGGACAATTTAGGGAGATCCTATCTCAAAATAAAATTTTAAAAAGGAGGCTGGTTGTGATGCTAAGTGTGTTGAGGTCCTGGGTTCAATTCTCAGTACCAAAAAGGGGATAAAAAAACAAAATCTATCACACAGCACAAACAAGCAACAAAATGTGATAAATTGTGATTTAAAGTCCCAAATATTAATCATTAAAATTCAGTGATTCCCCAAGTAAGTAGATTTCCCAGTCTGTCTTCAGAAATTTACATGGGAATCTTTCAAGTAACACAGCAGCACAGAATAGTGGAAAGAGCACAGACACAAACTAAGAAAATCTATTTGCTCCACCAAGGATTTAAATGTGTCATCCTAAACTTCAAATTGCTTTTTCCTACATTGCAGGGTGTTGTGAGATCAAATGAGATAATACACAAGAAAATATACACAAACTATTAAAGCTCTATGTGAATGTTCAAGAGTCATGTCCTGGTCTCATTTTTATATCCCTAATGCTTAACAAAATTCATAGCAGAGGTTATAATCTAAAAGAAAAGCCTTGGAAGGGACTGGTAAGGTGAATATCAGATGACAACAGAGAAGCATTAAAACAAATAGCAACCCAAATGTGTATAAACTGATAAGTGGATAAAAATGTAGTATATCCACATCGGGGAATATTATTTGGCAATAAAAAAGAATGAAATACTGATACCAATTACAACATGAATGACTCTTGAACTCTTGAACTCTTCTTGAAAGAAGCCAGACACAAAAGATCTTATGAGATAGTATGATTTCTTTTTTAGGAAATGCTCAAAACTGGCAAATCCACACACACGGCACATACAGTAGTTGCCTGGGACTGGGAAATGTACAGTGGCTGATAATGCGTACACAGTTTATTTTTGAAATTATATTCTAAAAATTATCGCGGTTATATTTGCACTACTCTATGAATACACTAAAAAACACTGAACTGTATACTTTAAATGGGTGAATTACACCGTGTTTTTTAAAAGAATGACAAAAACTTTAAGAATTGCTAAAACAGCTGTCTTTAGAACACTCGTTTCTTTTTTGATGAATAAATAGTGAATTTTCCAATATTTGAATAGCTCTGTTTTGTGAGCAAGAATGAGACTGGAGGAAACACTAGGAAAAAATAAATAAAATTACTACACAAGACTGTAACATTTCTACAGATTCTGTGAAAAACAAATCTGGCATCTTGCTATTTCTTCCCTTCAAAATCCTAAGGTTACAAATTACCTCATTCTGGTCTAGTTTGATAGTCTTTTCACTATGGTCACAGTTACGGTTTCTGAACTTCAAGACTGCATGCCATACTTCTATAACCCTAGCTTGTAGAAAATCTTCCTTTCCTTGGCTTCTGTGGAACTCATATACTTCCTGATTCTTCTCAGAATGCTTTATTTACCTATTAGTCTATTATGTTACCCCAAATTCCAAATCTCAAAGCTCTTTTCCTACTCTACTAATTCCCTCTCAACACACATTTACTCACATGTGTTTTTACCATTACTATATAACCCTGTCACTGAAAAAATTTATACTTCATCTGACTATTCATATTTGCTAATGATTAAATGCACAAGGTTAAGTAACTTTCCCAAAGTCCTTTCCTGATTATAAAACCTTACAATGAACATTTCCTAAATTAAAGAGATGTAAAGCACACAGAATGATGGTTGCCATACAAAAAGTATTCACTAAATGTTGGCTATTATTTTATTCTCACAACCGCTACTTCATGTCAGGCCTTCATCATCTTATTCTTAAAATTCTAGTCAGTTTCCCTACTCCCAGAACACTCAGTATACACAAAAGCCTTCCTCAGGAACAGTGTGTATCATCTTACCCTCATTCCTTAGAACCCTTTATCCTTGAAAGGTCCTTTCCCAATATACCCTCACAAATCCTAAACTCACTTATTATTCACCAATTGAGTCTCTTGATATCTTTTGTAAATTTCCACTTCTCTACCTTTGCATATATGCCTTCAATCTCCTGGGATACACCTCTTCCCCTTTGGAAATTCCTCTTTCTCATGTTACATATACTTTTGACCTTGGTTGTACTGTTATTCCAAACAGGAGTTGGATGTTGTTTGGTGATTATAAATGATGTACATACCATTTCTCCAACAAAAGGACAAATCTGTTCCTCTTGGTACAGAGGTTGAAGCTTTTGAAGAGACCCATATTTTATTCTGTGTATTTTTTCATACCAACTACTTCACATAAAGGCAACATAGTATTTTGCAGAAGTAAACAAATGCTGACTTATTTTATTTATACACACACACACACACACACACACACACACACATATATATGAGCCTCAGAGTATACCCAAATGACATTCTCTATTTTCCATGCCCCACCCATACTTAGCATAATGAAAGCAGATAGAATATGTACTTAAATATTTTTAGTCTATATAGGAGACTATACTAACAATTACACCAGATTAAAGGGGAAAGAGCAACATCAAAATGCACTCAAAATGACTGCACCATGTGAAAAACAAATAAGAGAATCCTGGCCATTTTAGTATATAAAAGAGTGACTTCAAAACAGTAAGATATTTTATTTCACCCAAACTTATGAACTAAAAAGAGCCAAAATAAACATGCCCTGGCCTCATCCAAAAAACACCTAATAAAGGCATGAGTAACTCCCCAGGATCTCCAGCAGCACAAAACCAAGAACAAGATTCACCTTAACTCTGACACAAAACCAAAAAAAGGGAAATCTTCAGATTCACATCAGAAATCAAAAAGTTCAATTAATCCACCAGATCAGAAAAAAAAAATTGAGAAAAGTTACTGATTTTCTATAACTATACGCTAAGGTCTTGAAGGAATAAAAGGTTTCTCTCACTGCTACCGTAGTCTCTTCCCTGTGGAGAGAGCAATCTATGGTCTCAAAGAGCAAAACACGGTTAAGATGGAAATCTTAACCTGGGAAAGACATTAAGAAAAAAAAAAAAAGAAGAAGAAAGAAAAAGGTTTCAAAACCTGTGTCAAGAGACAAAAGTCTAATAGTACTCAATAGAGAAGGAAAGTGAAATAAAAGAGCTTCCACGAAGGAGGTAACTAGGTGGAACTATCTAGTGCTGCCTTACAACATATATATGCACATACATGCATACATATGTGTGTATGTGTGTACACATATATGCATTCCCATATGACATGCACACCTTTTCAATAGTAAGCAAAATAAGAAATAAAGTAACATCAGAAAAAGACGTAAAAGATGCCCACCAATCTATAATTCGTTGGCTCTATTCATTCAGGAATTCAGCTAGGAACAACACAGACATGCACTGCAGCAACACAGAATAGAAAAACCTTGGACAACAATATGCACAAAAAGTAGAACAGAGAAATGAAAACTATACACCTCAATGCATCAATACCAAGCACTTATTCTCTTTTGAGGATTAAGCAGTAGAAAGCAATGATGTCAATGAAACTAACCCTGGTATCCCCTATAGGTCTCAATTTAAGAGAGTACAACTCTTGGTTCTTCCATCTAAACAGTGGGCCCCAGCAAAGCAAACTGACCTTAACACCTTCCATGCCAGCCAGAGAAAATCACACAGGGAAAAATCATGCCGTAAATCTCCCTCTTCACCAGCTGCAAAAATGGAAGGGGGTGGGGGGCACGGGACACTCTACCACGTGGGCAGGATGCAACACACACAGGACAGCAACACGTCCGCAAGGAACGGTTGCCTTTGCCCTAATGCCAGCAAAGGACACAGCAACAGGATGGGCGGGAACCAAGGCCCCTCGCAACGGCCTCCTCACCCCGAAGGGCACCCGCCGGGCGCAAGATATTGCCCGCCTTTCTGGCCGAAAAGCGCTCCCGAGCTTGAAGGGAAGCAGCCACATTGCGCCGGGATCGGGGACTACCCCAGGCTAGAACGCAGCTCACGGAGGGAAGGAGACTGTCGCTGTCTGCGGACTCCGCGCCCCCGGGATTCACGTCCAGCTCCCCCGGGCCCCACCTGGGGGAGGGGCGGGAGGCGCGGAGCCGCCGCTTCCAGCTGAGGGGCAGCAGCAGCTGAGAATCGCCGCGGGGAAGGGAGGGACCCAGCCCTCGTGGCCCGCCAGGCCCCAAACTGAGCCCAGGCCCCCTGGCCCTCCCGCCGCCCACCGCGCAGCGCGCGACGGCTAAGAAGGGACAGGGCGTCTCGCGGAGAGCAGCCCCAGCCTCCGTCGCGGGAGATGCCCCGGCCCCGCCTCCTCGCCCGCCGCCCCGGTGGCGGGCACTCACCTCAGGCTGAGCAGGCCGGGACGGCCCGGCCGAGCCCCCGGCCGCTACGTGCGTCTCCGCCCCCCGGGAAAGGTCCCAACGGCGTCTGGTGCGAGCGGCCGAGGCCCCGAGCAGCGCCGAGAGCGGCGGCAGCAGCGGGAGCAGCCAACATCCGGGGCCGCGCACCCGGAACTACTTCCCAACCCGCTCCCCCTGCCGCCCCCGCCGCCCCCGCCTCCCGCGACGTCGCAGCGCCACCAGCCCAGCGTCGGCGGCGTCACGGCTCTCCGCGGAAGCGGTCTCTAAGCCCTGCGCGGATCCCTCCGCGGGAGCAAGTAGTGCCCGGGAACTTGAGCGGCTCTCTGGGAGCACAGTCGATGTCTACAAGAGGCTGGCAGTTTCGAGCGACGCGGGTCCCTGCGCCCCACAGTGGCGTCAGTGGGGTGAGATCGGGGACCCCATAATGAAGGATGGCAAGGATCAGCGGCTTTGGACCCTTTCCAAGGATTCCACAGGTCCCGTGTTCCAGAGGAATCCTGCCTCGTGACCTCCCCCAGCCCCCCAACCCTGCCACCTCACCGTAGGGACTGGCACCTTAGCCTGTCCAAGAAACTGGACCCCTTTTTCGACCTGGCGCAGCTTGGATTCTGCAGGCCCCAACAAAGGCGCCTTGTACCTTCCTTCAGGACTCCTTTTCAGAACTTCAGGAGGCCAGGATTCTAGGCCTACCTCTGTGGAGGCCATTCCCCTGCCTAATCATACTTTCCTTCTACTTAAAAAAAAAAGGACTTGGAACTCTAAAGGCCCTTCTGATTCACAGGTTCACTGTCCAGGTTATGGTCCTGCTGTCAACAGGTGGAGCATTTAGAAGGGTAGTTGGGCGCATGGTGGACTTTGGAATTTACTTCTACGTCAATCTTCGCTGATTCTTTCTCCAAACTATTAGCACTGATAATCTGCCCTGTAGTTTCACACTTGATTACTTTTGAGGTATTACTTGCTGTTGCTTCAATTGCGTTAGTCATGTATTCTCCCCACAGCACCAAGAACACTTTTTTTTCCCCAAGAACACTTTTGAACTCAGTAGATAATCAATACGTGGATAATCAGGTATTTGTTAGTTGAATATGGGTTGTTTGGATGAAAGGACAGAGACCGGAATGATTGACCCTGGGAACTTTTTTTTTTAACCTCAAGGGGATCAGATAAAGACCTCAAGTAGTTAAAGATCTGAGCCTCTCTATTCCCTCAACAAACATTGAACACCTGCCTTTTAGCAAGAATCTCTGGGAACTGGGGATACAGAGTACTCATATATTTCTAAGTAGCGCTCTAGCAATATTCTGAAGTTTCATTTACTCATTCATCCAACAAATACTTGTCAGTCACTGCTAAGTTTGCCAGATACCAGTGCTCAAGATGTATCCATAAACAGAAAAGAAAGAAGGAAAAAACATTTATCTTTCCCTCTTGGAGCTTTCATTTTATAGTATGGGGAGAAAGATGAAAAACACAACAAGAGAATTACTAAGTATGTTAGAAGGCATTGAGTACTATCGGAAAAAATAGAGTAAGGAGCTATAAAGAATCCTGGAAGATAGGTGTTGTGATTTTAAATAGAACTGTCGTGGGGGAACCTATTCATCTTACTCTAATCAAACTTTAAAGAGGTGAGGGATAGCTGGGGATATAATTCAAAGGTAGAGAGCTTGCCTAGCATGCACAAGACCCTGGGTTCAATCCCTAGCACTCCCCCCACCCCCACCCCCCAAAAAAGGGGGAATGAGCCATGTAGGGTGGCAAAACATCTCAGGAAGTGTTATAAATAATGAGAAGGCCAAGAGATTTGGAAAATAAAGACAGACAGTGGAATCTTGTAGGCCATTGTAAGGATCTTGGCTAAAACAGATCCTCTACTGGGCTTTGAACAGTGGGAAGTCACTCTTACTTATTTTGTTAACAGTAGATGGTAGGAGGGCAATAGTGGAAGCCAGAGGCTCCATTATCCAAGTGCAGAAGATGGCTTGGACCAGGATGACAGTAGTGTATAGGACAAATAAAATATGGACTCTATACTTGAAGAACTCAAGTCAAGTGGGAAGCAAGTAGATGAAATAATTACAATATATTATGACAAGGAAAATAAAACCCAAAAAGAAATCTGCCCTTGCCATCTTCCCTGAGAGATAGAAGTTCCCAAAGTTCCAAATTGCCAAAGGAATTGGAAGGTCCTGGTTCTTTGTTGATCCATTAGGTAGATCCTTGATAACACCTGATACTGGCCATTTTCCCAGCCTTCCACCTCTCAAAGCCCACCTTTTTCTGAAAGGAGTTATAGGCAGAAGAGTACTAAAGAACAGTCTGGATCATATATTTAAGGAGATGGACAATGCTGATATTATTCCCATTTGTTAGAGGAAGAACTGAGGACAGTAGTTATGAGAGTAGAGTTAAGGCCACTTGAATGGAGTCAGCCAGGCAATGGAATAGAAGAGAAAAAAGACTAGTATTTGAACTTAGCTCCAAGTCTGAAGATTTGGGCTTCTAATCACCACCTCCTCTTATAATAAAGTTTTGGGCAGTTCCTCACTTCTCACTTGTCTGAGATTCAGAGGTTCTTCCCTCAAGTGCCTATTCTGGGCTTGTGGGTGATAGGGCAAGAACAAAACAGAGCTGGATGGCTAGCTGCTAGAGTGGGGTAGGGAGGTAGGGATCAGCCACCTTTGGGAAGAAAAGAATCATGAGTCACAGAGTATCAGAAGATGAAGAAGCAATCAGATGAATACCGGGTTCATGCTTAATGAGTAGAATTTAGCTGTTCTTGCCACAAGAACAAAGAGTAGGTAACTGTGAGATGGTGGATGTTGCTCCAATAACATGTTTACTATCTGCATACATCCTATAACATCATTTTATTCACCTTAAATGTACAAAACTTGTTTGAAAATTTTTTCAAAGAAAAAAAAGGTGTCAAATATGATGGCACATACCTGTAATCCCAGCTACTTGGGACTGAGGCTGAAGCAGAAGGATCATAAGTTCAAAGCCAGCCTGGACAACTTAGCAAGACCCTGTCCCAAAAATAAAG